ACCATGATGTTGATGACATAAAAAGACAGTACCATGATGTTGATTAAATAAATAGACAGTGCCATGATGTCGATGACATAAATAGACAGTGCCATAATATTGATGACATCCGGTTGAAATGGACGCTAGACAGCGGCGCTGTTCGGAGCAGAGGCAAATTTTTTTGCTTCTGCCGGACGGTGGCCGATGCATTTTGCTCCATTTGTAGACTGGATATAGTTTCGTCACCCAGCTTCTGAGTTGAATGCATGGCGTGACCCTGTGAGCTGCAAATTGCATTTAGAATGTTTTTTCGACTGTGACCAACGTGGTGGTGTGAATTGTAGATTCAGAAAATGGCGCGATGCTTGTTGTGCAATGCTGGCAGGGCCCGTATTAAAATTGATCGCGTGGGCAACTGCTGATCTGTTGGCGACAAGTTCTGCTATCTTTAATGATGAACTGCATTTCTAATGTTGGACTGTTTGTGTTAGCACTTCGGATGGCTACCATATGCTTTAATGCGAGTGTATGCTAGATATGCTGAGACAGCAGTCTGTCAATCTTTCCACAAGGGACTGTGATAAACATTCTGGGTGTTTTTCATTGGCACAGGAGCGGAGCAAAGATGGGGCGACCCGTTTGCTATGAAGCTGAAACTAAGACTACCAGACCAGACTACCAGACCAGACCATTGATGACATATATAGACAGTACCATGATGTTGATGACATAAATAGACATTACCATGATGTTGATGACATAAATAGACAGTACCATGATGCTGATGACATAAATAGACACTTCGATGATGTTGATGACATGACAGACAGTACGATGATGTTAATAACATGGACAGGCTGGGAATGGAGGTTTATACATTGTCTACTAACCTTGATCAGCTCGGCAAAAGTTGACTCCAGGCGCCAGTTCAGACGTCCCGCAGTGTACTGCCCGGAAAGTGAAGAAGGCCAGATCCGCATCTGGCGAAGCGAATGCTTGGGGCATACAAACAAGAGCCCCACTAGAACCTGGACAAGTCGGCGTAGTATACATGAGGGAGACGGTGCTGGTTTCTCTGTCAACTTCTATACTTCTCCAGTGACCTAGGCTGATCTGTTTGCTACATCCGTGAGGGTGGGACACTATAATCAACAATGGTTGCTTATCTGGTAGATTTTCTCTCTGCTTGGTCTTATTCAATGTAAGCGTTTTCACGAAGATCATGTCTTTTAAGTTACATGCATGCCTCAGACTTTCATCTAGGCGGTGGGCCAGACCCAAGTCGTGTGTAAAATGTTTCATGTCACACCAGTCGTTTGGGATTTGGGTATTTACATTAGACATGACAGTCAATGTAACAACACCGCTTGAGGTTTCCGGTGTACTTCCTCTATCAAAGAACAGGTGGCATGTGGTGTGTTCTCCCTCGAGCTCGTCATAAACCATGTGTGCTGAAGTGGTGATAGAAATCATGGCAAAGCTCATCTCCGGTGTAGAAGAGTTCTGACAGTCCTTACATAGACATGTCGTACATGAAGAGTTGTCCCACAAACTCACAGAGTTAACCCACCCCGTCCCTACAGTCACCCTCCGTCGACCCTTGTCCATGTAACCTGGATACGGCATGAGACTACCAGGAACAGTTGATGGTCTCTTGTCACTGACATACTTGACTGTCACACGAACTGTCAGGTCTGACACTGCTCGGATATAGGCCAGTATATCCTTGTCATGGTAATCTTCGGGGAGATCTTCTATACTGAACTTATCTACAGGTATAAAGTTCTTGTGTCCTGGATTCTTCTTACAGCTGTCGTAATGTCGATAAAGGTCAGCCTCTCCTCCATAACTGTACTCACACTCCCATGGACCTGGTAGATAGATACAGGACATCTTGTCATAGACAATATTACATCATCAATGTATGGAGCTGGTAGATAGATATAGGACATCTTGTCATAGACAACATTACATCATCAAAGTATGGAGTTGGTAGATAGATACAGGACATCTTGTCATGGACAATATTATAACATCAATGTGTGGAGCTTGTAGATAGATTACATCGTGTCATAGACAATCGGTTTGAATGTAGATACTGTCAACATTAACCGGTGTGAATGTAGATACTGTCAACATTACCCTGTGTGAATTTAGATAGTGTCAACATTAACATGTGTGAACGAAGATAGTGTCAACATTAATCTGTGTGAATGTAGATACTGTCAACATTAATATGTGTGAATGTAGCTAGTGTGAACATTAACCTGTGTGAATGTAGATTATGTCAACATTAACCTGTGTGAACGTAGAGAAATGTCAACATTAACCTGTGTGACTGTAGATACTGTCAACATTACCCTGTGTGAATGTAGATAGTGTCAACATTAACCTGTGTGAATGTAGATAGTGTCAACATTAACCTGTGTGAATGTAGATAGTGTCAACATTAATCTGTGTGAATGTAGATAGTGTCAACATTACCGTGTGTGAATGTAGCTAGTGTGAACGTTAACCTGTGTGAATGTAGATTCTGTCAACATTAACCTGTGTGAACGTAGAGAAATGTCAACATTAACCTGTGTGACTGTAGATACTATCAACACTAACCTGTGTGAATGTATATACTGTCAACATTAACCTGTGTGAATGTAGAATCTGTCAACATTACCCTGTGTGAATGTAGATTCTGTCAACATTACCCTGTGTGAATGTAGATTCTGTCAACATTACCCTGTGTGAACGTAGATTCTGTCAACATTAACCTGTTTGAATGACTGTCTAATACAGTAAACTTTAATCTGTGTAAATGTAGATACTGTCAACATTAACTTGTGTGAATGTAGATAGTGTCAATATTAACCTGTGTGGATGTAGATACTATCGTCATTAACCTGAGTGAATGTAGATAGTGTCACCATTAACTGTTTGGATGTAAATAGTGTCAACATTAACCTATATGAATGTACATAGTGTCAACATTAACCTGTAAAAATGTAGATACTGGCAACATTAACCTGTTGGAATGTAGATTCTGTCAACATTACCATGTGTGAATGTAGATTTTGTCAACATTACCCTGTGTGAATGTAGATACTGTCATCATTAACCTGTGTCAATGTAGATACTGTCAACATTAACCTGTGTGAATGTAGATCCTGGCAACAATAACTTGTGTGAATGTAGATTTTGTCAACATTACCCTGAGTGAATGTAGATTCTGTCAACATTACCCTGTGTGAATGGGGATTCTGATAACATTAACCTGTGTAAAGGTAGATATTGTCAACATTAACATGTTTGAACGTAGATACTGTCAACATTAATCTGTGTGAACGTAGATACTGTCAACATTAACCTGTGTGAACGTAGATACTGTCAACATTAACCTGTGTGAACGTAGATACTGTCAACATTAACCTGTGTGAACGTAGATACTGTCAACATTAACCTGTGTGAACGTAGATACTGTCAACATTAACCTGTGTGAACGTAGATACTGTCAACATTAACCTGTGTGAACGTAGATACTGTCAACATTAATCTGTGTGAACGTAGATACTGTCAACATTAACCTGTGTGAATGTAGATACTGTCAACATTATTCTGTGTGAACGTAGATACTGTCAACATTAACCTGTGTGAACGTAGATACTGTCAACATTAACCTGTGTGAATGTAGATACTGTCAACATTAATCTGTGTGACTGTAGATACTGTCAACATTAACCTGTTTGAATGACTGTCTAATACAGTCAACATTAATCTGTGTGTCTGTAGATACTGTCAACATTAACCTGTGTGAATGTAGATTCTGACAACATTAACCTGTATGAATGTACATAGTGTCAACATTAAACTGTCGGAATATAGATACTGTCAAAATTAATCTGTGTAAAAGTAGAAACTGTCAACATTAACTTGTGTGAATGTAGATACTGTCAACATTAACCTGTGTGAATGTAGATACTGTCAACATTAACCGGTGTGAATGTAGATACTGTCAACATTACCATGTGTGAATGTAGATACTGTCAACATTAACCAGTGTGCATGTAGATACTGTCAACATTACCATGTGTGAACGTAGAGAAATGTCAACATTAACCTGTGTGACTGTAGATACTATCAACACTAACCTGTGTGAATGTATATACTGTCAACATTAACCTGTGTGAATGTAGAATCTGTCAACATTACCCTGTGTGAATGTAGATTCTGTCAACATTACCCTGTGTGAATGTAGATTCTGTCAACATTACCCTGTGTGAACGTAGATTCTGTCAACATTAACCTGTTTGAATGACTGTCTAATACAGTAAACTTTAATCTGTGTAAATGTAGATACTGTCAACATTAACTTGTGTGAATGTAGATAGTGTCAATATTAACCTGTGTGGATGTAGATACTATCGTCATTAACCTGAGTGAATGTAGATAGTGTCACCATTAACTGTTTGGATGTAAATAGTGTCAACATTAACCTATATGAATGTACATAGTGTCAACATTAACCTGTAAAAATGTAGATACTGGCAACATTAACCTGTTGGAATGTAGATTCTGTCAACATTACCATGTGTGAATGTAGATTTTGTCAACATTACCCTGTGTGAATGTAGATACTGTCATCATTAACCTGTGTCAATGTAGATACTGTCAACATTAACCTGTGTGAATGTAGATCCTGGCAACAATAACTTGTGTGAATGTAGATTTTGTCAACATTACCCTGAGTGAATGTAGATTCTGTCAACATTACCCTGTGTGAATGGGGATTCTGATAACATTAACCTGTGTAAAGGTAGATACTGTCAACATTAACATGTTTGAACGTAGATACTGTCAACATTAATCTGTGTGAACGTAGATACTGTCAACATTAACCTGTGTGAACGTAGATACTGTCAACATTAACCTGTGTGAACGTAGATACTGTCAACATTAACCTGTGTGAACGTAGATACTGTCAACATTAACCTGTGTGAACGTAGATACTGTCAACATTAACCTGTGTGAACGTAGATACTGTCAACATTAATCTGTGTGAACGTAGATACTGTCAACATTAACCTGTGTGAATGTAGATACTGTCAACATTATTCTGTGTGAACGTAGATACTGTCAACATTAACCTGTGTGAACGTAGATACTGTCAACATTAACCTGTGTGAATGTAGATACTGTCAACATTAATCTGTGTGACTGTAGATACTGTCAACATTAACCTGTTTGAATGACTGTCTAATACAGTCAACATTAATCTGTGTGTCTGTAGATACTGTCAACATTAACCTGTGTGAATGTAGATTCTGACAACATTAACCTGTATGAATGTACATAGTGTCAACATTAAACTGTCGGAATATAGATACTGTCAAAATTAATCTGTGTAAAAGTAGAAACTGTCAACATTAACTTGTGTGAATGTAGATACTGTCAACATTAACCTGTGTGAATGTAGATACTGTCAACATTAACCGGTGTGAATGTAGATACTGTCAACATTACCATGTGTGAATGTAGATACTGTCAACATTAACCTGTGTGCATGTAGATACTGTCAACATTACCATGTGTGAATGTAGATACTGTCAACATTACCATGTGTGAATGTAGATACTGTCAACATTAGCCTCTGTGTATGTAGATACTGTCAACATTAACCTGTGTGAATGTAGAATCTGTCAACATTACCCTGTGTGAATGTAGATTCTGTCAACATTACCCTGTGTGAATGTAGATTCTGTCAACATTACCCTGTGTGAATGTAGATTCTGTCAACATTACCCTGTGTGAACGTAGATTCTGTCAACATTAACCTGTTTGAATGACTGTCTAATACAGTCAACTTTAATCTGTTTAAATGTAGATACTGTCAACCTTAACCTGTGTGAATGTAGATTCTGTCAACATTAACTTGTGTGAATGTAGATAGTGTCAACATTACCCTGTGTAAATGTAGATACTATCGACATTAACCTGTGTGAATGTAGATAGTGTCACCATTAACTGTTTGGATGTAAATAGTGTCAACATTAACTTATATGAATGTACATAGTGTCAACATTACCCTGTGAAAATGTAGATACTGTTAACATTAATCTGTGTGAATGTAGATACTGCCAACATTAACATGTGTGGATGTAGATCCTGTCAACATTAACCTGTGTTAATGTAGATATTGTCAACATTAACCTGTGTGAATGTAGATCCTGGCAACAATAACCTGTATGAATGTAGATTTTGTCAACATTACCCTGAGTGAATGTAGATTCTGTCAACATTACCCTGTGTGAATGTAGATTCTGATAACATTAACCTGTGTAAAGGTAGATTCTGTCAACATTAACCTGTTTGAATGACTGTCTAATACAGTCAACATTAAGCCGTGTGAATGTAGATAATGTCAACATTAATCTGTTTGAATGTAGATACTGTCAACATTAACCTGTTTGAATGACTGTCTAATACAGTCAACATTAATCTGTGTGACTGTAGATACTGTCAACATTAACCTGTGTGAATGTAGATTCTGACAACATTAACCTGTATGAATGTACATAGTGTCAACATTGAACTGTCGGAATATAGATACTGTCAACATTAACCTGTGTGGATGTAGATACTGTCAACATTAACCTGTGTGAATGTAGATTATGTCAACATTACCCTGTGTGAATATAGATTCTGTCAACATTAACCTGTGTGAATGTACATATTGTCAACATTCATCTGTGTGATTATAGATACTGTCAACATTCATCTATGTGATTGTAGATACTGTTAACATTAACCTGTGTGATTGTAGATACTGTTAACATTCATCTGTGTGATTGTAGATACTGTCAACAAGGATACAGACACAAATTGATGTAACTGACCATCTTCACGCCAATGGTGCTTGGGAAATATAGTACTTGAACTATTTTATAGACCAGAGCTACTTGATGCGTGATGTGGTCAATATCACGCCAGCGACATTTACTTCCTATAAAATTATCTGCTACCTATGTCATGCTCGGTCGAGAGTGGAGCCGGTGTCAGTTCTGAATTTTTGTCGATGAGAATTTGAACTCTAGACTTTTAGTCGGCAGGCAGCCTTCTAGTTGCAAAACCAACAGAGTGACATACAGTGGTTCTTCGATATACGCCTGCTTTGGTGAAAATCCAACTTGGTATATGTCATGTTTAGTCTCAAACAGTTTGCTTGGTATACGATTCTTTGCTTGGAATACGACTCGCGTGCTATGGGTCCAAACGAGTCACGAAATGTTACCGTTGTTTATCTCTCTCGTTAATCAAGGAAATGTTTTGTCAGGTTAACGGATGTAAAAAGCTGGACAGGGAGTACCACCCCAACAAAGCCTAAATATACTAGTAGCATAATCTGGAATGACCTGACAAAGTCATATTTCCGAAACTTCCTGAGAAAAAGGCAGAAGCACAGTTTTAGTGACTAATGGTTAGTAAAATTCAAACATGGTAAGCACCAGCTAGGTCCAAGCAACGAAATTAGAAAGGGGTGGGGGGGGGCAGAGAGAGAGAGAGAGAGAGAGAGAGAGAGAGAGAGAGAGAGAGAGAGAGAGAGAGAGAGAGAGAACAACGAACAAACTTTATTTTCAAAGGGTTAAGAATTGGGCACGCAGGCTCGTCTAACATTCTGCCCTTCCACTCCTCTCCTTTCATAAAATTTTTCATTTGTACCTCATTTCATAGTTAAAAATAATAACAATAAGAGTATTAATTATTATTATTATAAAAAGAGGAAGCAAAATTAAAAATTTAAGAAACATAGAAAAAAAGAGAAACAAAATTTACAATATCTAAGTCTTAATTACAAATGCTGGAGTGTGCTTTAATTTATACTGACATTACTTGAACGTTTTAAAGAGTAAAATAATAAGCCTATTCCAAAAAAAAGTAAGTCTTACTTACAGGTTGCATAATATAAACATCATCAAAACTAATTAAATATTAGCTACAAACATTGAAATGCATTCGACTGGCATCTTCAGTTTTAAACAATAATAACCTTCAGTTTTTAAACAACCAACCCCCCCCCCCCACCACCCCCCCCCCCACCCCCCCCCCACCCCCACTCCCACACCCAAAAAAAAATTTAATAAGACATCTCATGGAAAAACATCCCAGCCTTAACATACTATAATCTTAAAAAGGGGCATATATTCTGTAGGGAGAAAGAGAGAGAGAGAGGGAGAGAGAGAGAGAGAGAGAGAGAGAGAGAGAGAGAGAGAGAGAGAGAGAGAGAGAGAGAGAGATGGACCAGGATTTTATACTCTTGAAGTTGTAATTAAAAGAACTCTTCTTAGAACTAAGAATATTTCTTCCACCTCCCTTCTCAGTACCATCCTAGTTGGCCCTCGACTCTTATCAGAAATGTAGAGATTTAATTTTTAATAATTTTTTCTAATTGCTTTTTAATTTATGTATTTTAGTATTATGCTACACATAAATTATTTCATACAACCTCATCAATGTAAAATATGTAAAGCATAATAAGATTTTTTTTTCTTCATAGTAATGATTTAACATTCTCCCTACTTATGGAAAAAATTTCGTTTGGTATTACCTCCTGTTCGGTATACGTCCGTCCTGTTTGGTATAGGTCCGTCCTGTTTGGTATAGGTCCGTCCTGTTCGGTATACGTCCGTTCTGTTTGGTATAGGTCCTGTTTGGTATACGTCCTGTTTGGTCGTTTGTTTGTTTTAGTATCCAGAAGCCATAAATTGTTAACCCTTAGGCTCGGTATTATGGATATCAACCTTTTGGCCTTGATTCCATTGTAAATACCGTAAATCTGGGAGAAATGTGGCTTTTCTGCTACCCAGGGAGTGAACCCGGACCACAAGGAGTTCGTCACCCGGTCTCTGCGCAATCCGGTTTAGCCAACTACGCTAGAGAGAGGGGCGTCCTGTTTGGTAAAAGTCATGTTTGGTAAACATCCTGTTTGGTATACGTCCTGTTTGGTATACATCCTGTTTGGTATACTTCCTCTTTGGTATGCATCTTGTTTGTTATACGTCATCTTAGGTATACGTCCTGTATTGTTTGGTATTAGTCCTATTTGGTAAACAATGATCTGGAATGGACTAAAGACGTATATCAAGGTGCCACTGTATAAGAAAATAAATTTGGCGAATAGGGGAAACAATTCCAACCTTGAGTCTCTCTATCCAACACAGCTAAGACTTGCGTATTATCTGTGTCCATGCCTGTGGAAGATACATGTTTATCTGAGAGTCGATCATGTAGAGAGAATTGTAAAAAAGGCAGATAAGACAAACACTGCCTACACAAAAGAGTTGAATGGGCGTAGGAAACGAGGTAGACTTAGAGACAACGGAGATAAAACATGCAGGCAGACCTACAAACACATCGAAATTTATTATCCGTGTTACATAAATCCTTGCGTCCTTTTTAGGACGAAATTTTTTGTTATTTGAAGCCCCACCCTGGCTCTGCCAGGGGCCGCAATATAGGCAGGCCATAAATATGGCCATTGTCTGAACGCGGTTTCTGGGACCTCTACACGGTGATCCTCATCCACGTGGTGGCACTTTGTGTCATCGGGTGTTTATCGCTTGTGTGATGTCCTGGTGGGGTAGAAAGTCAGTCGTCAGTGAGTTATCCGTGTCAATCTCTGATGGCCTAACATTTAATACAAGATCGTCAATATCTATAATGGGACCACGTGCATCGTTCTTCTTATAATCCATGTCGTGTGGCTTTGCTATTCATGTATATCCACAATCTTCTGTCTCGTGGATGTCCCAACAGTGTAATCCATGTCGTTACCATAGTAACTGATTCCCCCCCCCCCCCCCCCAAAAAAAGTAGAGACAACAATTGCTGATCTGAGTGGCTTTGAAATTAACAGGTAAATTTAAAAAGAAGTCACGAGCACTGGAAATGAGATCTTTCCAAAACAATACTGACATACCGTTCAGAGACCATATCATAAAATAATCTGTTCGCTAAATGATTATCCAACACTTTGGCAACAATACATCTCTTCTAGCTACAAGGAAAAGACCGGAAATGCAGTAGTAAGGACATGTAATTGGATCTAACCGTCTCACAAAAACAATACTGCAAGGCTCAGTAGAGAGAAATGGGAGAAGAGGCAGACCAAGAAAGACCTGCATACAGAACTTTATTGACTGGACAGGACTTAGACATGCAACCATAAAGTCTACAGCATCAGACCGTCAAAGGTGGAGGGAGCTGATCAGACAGGCAAAATCAACTGGTGACCCAGCAACACGCAATAGTACGGGACGATAATGATGATCCGAGAGAGTCACGAGAACACGTCTCTCGGCAAAACACGAAGCTTAACGGGTTACCAAAAAACACTTGTGCAAACGGATTTACTAACTATATTAGATAAGGCATAGTAAGTTAGAATTCCCACACAATCAATACTTCACTGACCTCACACCCCCCCCCCCCCCCTAAAAGGTATAGAAGTGGACATGTACCTCAAGATAAACAGCACTTTCAACATCATGCTAGATTTGAAGCAAATAAAAGTCTAATCTCTGGATAGATGAGTCTTGATATCAGTTTACAGAAGTCTGGAGGCATTTTCAGCAGAATAGTATAGTGCATGCAGGAAACACAATTTCCGAAAACAAAGGGAAAGAATACAACACAAGTAACAATTACAGAAATCCAAGGGAACAATGTATGGTAACACAGTGTATACAAATGTAACAACCGTCACCAAAATAGCACCGTTTAACTATTTGTCAGCAACGTTGTGTAACTAGCGCTAAACGTAGATATTAGCAACAAAGAAAAATAACAACGGAAGTCACACTTCTACAAACTAATCCCGAATTTAAAAAGTTGAGACAGGATCAGAAAGTATATGCTTGCTGTCTCCCAATGCCAGACACATTGTGTGTGTGTGGTTTGTTTAAAACCTGTTGCCTGGGACCCTAAAATAACCCAACTTATAGGGTTGAACGGGGTTTCCAGGACCTGTCCCTGGGTGATACTCATCTGAATGGTGGCACTTTGTGTCACCGGGTGTTTGTCGCTCGGTATGATGCCTTGGTGGGATTGGACGTTAGGCAGTCAGTCAGGATCAGAAATGACATTTAAAAAAACAGGAATGACTGGACCAGTGCTAAACTACATCAAGAGACAACAGGTCAAATTGTTCGGACATGCGTCAAGATTGCCATGGAGAGGTGCACCATAGAAAACCATGCATATCAGATATGATGGAAGCTGAAACAGAGGTCGCCCAAGTAAGCGATGGATAGAAAGAATATCTGACGCCGTCAACATTAGAATCTAGCACAAAACAGAGCTTGCAATAGATGCATCTTCAAGGCATGTTGCTTCAAGCAAGAACATGAATTAGAAAAAGGAAGACAGAAAAAGAAAAATGTATTTATGATTTTATGTTTCTAAATAATTCATGTAGATCATGCAAGCACGTTTTTTTTTTTTTTTTTAACTTGACAGTATGTCCCTTATTTCATGTGTACACAACCGTTTGTTTAAATTACCACATATCTAAACAGCGTGTACTAACTTCCACTGACGCGTCTATAGTTGATCTTAGGGGGCATGTCAGAAATCTCACATTGAGCTCCATGCTTCCATTTATATTCAAGACCGAAACTAACCATAAAACATACCACCGCTCTAATCAACGAGCCAACACTCTCTACCTCTGCTTGGTCAATTGCACCTGTGCCGCGATGAGACACGTGGAATCAACATCAGCAACAATTAGGCAACTGTCCATGGCCAGCCGAGAACACGCCGAGAGAGAGAGAGAGAGAGAGAGAGAGAAAGAGAGAGAGAGAGAGGGGGGGGGGGTGCACAGCCCAGTACAAGCAATTTATCAACTCCTCAAACATGCCACTGACCAGATTTATTCGCAAGTCCAACCAAACTAAAATAGCTTCTGGCACCCTGCTACACTAAAATTAAGTTACATTCTTTCTATAGATTCTTCCTATCTCGCTTTCCTAGGGTCAGTGTATCGGATGTTTTGTCCAGCTTACCTAGGGTCAGTGTCTCGGATGTGTTGTCCAGCTTACCTGGGCTCAGTGTATCTGTGTGATCCATCTTGCCTAGGGTCAGTGTATCGGATGTGCTGTCCAGCTTACCTAGGGTCAGTGTATCAGATGTGTTGTCCAGCTTCGCTAGAGTCAGTTTTTCGAATGTGTTGTCCAGCTTGGCTAGAGTCAGTTTTTCGGATGAGTTGGCCAGCTTGGCTAGGGTCAGTTTTTCGGATGTGTTGTCCTGGCTGGCTAGGGTCAGTTTTTCGGATGTGTTGTCCAGCTTGGCTAGGGTCAGCTTTTCGGATGTTTTGTCCAGCTTGGCTAGGGTCAGTGTATCGGATGTGTTGTCCTGCTTGGCTGAGGTCAGTGTGTCATATGTATTCTTTAGCCTGGCTGGGGTCAGTGTGTCAGATGTATTGTTTAGCCTGGCTGGGGTCAGTGTATCGGATGTGTTGTCCTGCTTGGCTAGGGTCAATGCAGCAGATGTGTTGTCCAGCTTAGCTGGAGTCAGTGTATCGGATGTGTTGTCCTGTTTGGCTGTGGTCAGTGTATCGGATGAGTTGTCCAGTTTGGCTAGGGTCAGTGTGTCAGATATGTTGTCCTCCTTGGCAGGGGTCAATGTGACAGATGTGTTGTCCAGCTTAGCTGGGGTCAGTGTATCGAATGTGTTGTCCTGTTTGGCTGTGGTTAGTGTGTCGGATGTGTTGTTCAGCTTGGCTAGGGTCAGTGTGTCAGATGTGTTGTTCAGCTTGGCTAGGGTCAGTGTGTCGGATGTGTTGTCCAGCTTACCTGGTCTCAGTGTATCTTTGTGGTCCATCTTGCCTAGGGTCAGTGTATCGGATGTGTTGTCCAGCTTACCTAGGGTCAGGGTATCAGATGTGTTGTCCAGCTTGGCTACAGTCAGTGTGTCGGATGCGATGTCCATGACTGATGGAGATAGAAACCGAACATCTGTATATTGGTTGACAGAATGATATTATCATGTGAGCTTACACAAAGAACGGATTACGTATACCCCGCTTTATTGTGGTAGGAGGGGGGGGGGGTTATTTAAAAGTCCCATCCCAGCTGTAGTCAGGGGGATTGCGCCCAGGGGATTCTCATCCAAATAGTGGCACTTTGTGTCACCTGGTATTTTTATCGCTCGTTGTGCAGTCGTGGTGATGTTGAACGTCACTCAGTGGATTTCCCCCTTACCCTTACAACCGACAGTTATTAAAGTAATGTCAAGTAACAATGGATTGAGTCATCCTAGGGTCGCCGTTCAAAACAGTGCCACTAAACTCTTTGTTACAGCTTCACTGTGTTTAGTTTTTGTGGTTGTCTCCTGTCCGTATTTCCAAACGACAGTGTCCTCCGGTGTGCTATAGGAAAGCATGCAAATCCTGTGGCGAGGATATATAGATCATCCTTTACCCAGCACAAGGCCTGAGCAATATTGTTTGTAGACACCAAGTGTTGCCTATGCAACACGATTCCTCATTTGACCTGTCCAGGTACTCCGAAAGCGAGACACCATTAATACGTTTAGAACAAAGCATGATGCCCGTACATAACAGGAAGTTTCCTCTTCCTAATGTTGTTGTCCTCTTTATCAATGTTTATAATATTTGAATTTCCTACTGTAGTGAAAACAAACCTGCATTAATTTGTATTTGTTTTATAAACACAAGAGATCATCCTGATTTTGTTTTAAATTCTAGTTAAATTTAACTAAAGCAACATGTTTTACATTGTTTTTGAAAAAAAACACAGTGTTTTTAACAAATGTTTATATGTAAGTATAGATTCAGACACACAGAGACACACACACACACACACACACACACATATATATATATATATATATATATATATATATATATATATATATATTATATATATATATATATATATATATATATATATATATATATATATATATATATATACGGCTTCTAAAAGTGATTCTAAATAACGTAAAATAAAAACTAAGAACACACAAACACAATTATACGTTGCCTTCCTCAAAGTGACTTAATCGTCAGTTCGTGAATTTCCGTTGGTATTATGTCAGTCGGGTTTTTCTGTTATTGTTGTTGTTAGACATCTAAAATAAGTAACAGGATATTTCCCATCACTGAACATTAGACATATATTGTTGGATGCTGCTGCTGCTTCGCTTTTTCGTCTTCCTCGACTTCG